TATTTTTTATTCTTTAAAGTTTTAAACAAAAATTCTGTTTACAGTAAAGAAATGCAGATCCACTTTAATACATTACTTGTCAGTGTAAAATTGGTCCTCTTTTTTGTTTTTGGTCATTTCAAGGATAAAATTAAATGTTAAGCCTACTTGTTTTTTCTTATTTATTGATAATTCATTCTTAAGTAATTGATTAATTTGAAACTACCCCTATTTTTAATATATTCTAGCATGAGATTTGTGTAAGTTCATTTTTAGACAGATTATATAAGGAATATTATTTTACCATTCTATTTGCTTGTATTCACGGACAATAAGGTAACTTTTACATGGCAATGGGCTAAGTCACTGTCATATAAATTTAAGAGATTTGTTGTCTTATTACCAAGATTCTAAGTATTACATAAAATAAAATTACATTTTCTTTGGTATATATATGACACAATAATTTCTTAGTAAAACTCCTTGCAAATAAAACATGATTGAACTTGACTAATGAGGTGTTTATTAATGTAGCTTGTATAAAAGCTAAAACAGTATTTATATAGAAGTATTGGACCATGTAAAACGGTTACCATATCGCAGTCTTAATTAGATTGTTTGATATTTTAAGAGAATATCACTGTCTTTATTCGATTGTTTCATATCTTAAACTGATATTACGTCCAAATAAGATTGTTTGATATCTGAAGATGATACCACAGTCTTAGTTCAATTGTTTGATATCTTAAAATAATTTCACAGTCTTGATTACAGCGTTTGATAGTTTAAGAAAAAAGCACAGTCTTAGTTAAATCTTAAGCTGATATTACGTCTAAATAAAATCGTTTGAGATCTGAAGATGAAACCACAGTCTTAGTTAAATTGTTTGATATCTTAAGCTGATATTACGTCTAAATAAAATCGTTTGATATTTGAAGATGATATCACAGTCTAAGTTTAATTGTTTGTATGATATCTGAATATGATTTCACAACTCTGCTTAGAGCGTTCAGTATTTATGATAATATCACAGACTTAAAGACATCAGTAGCAAACTGTATAATATATAAACAAGTTCCAAATATGCTAAGGCATTCCTATCCCACCGCTATATAATTGCTTAACCTAGACTTTTTATTTGCCGAAGACTGAAAAAAGAACTATATGTATAATTGTTTTATCAAGTAGTTCATTCTCGTTTGTAGTTTCAAAAGCTAACAAATGGTCAAGAATAACTTGTAGGGCTTATTATAATTCTCTAACTGGTAAATAGACGCTATTTAAAGAAAAAGGAACGTTTTCATTTTTCAAATGATATTGGCCCAATACTGTTTGCCGAGTTACGTAGCATACACTACTGATAATCTGTTTGAATATATACATGTATAAAGGTGAGAATATGTAAAATAATTAATTTGCCAGTTGAAGGCTGCTATCTCTGGGAGAAATGAATGAAGGTTGAATTTTCAGTGGTTAACTAAAATCCGGGTATCTCATTGTCCATTATAAGATAAGTAAAATAATGTAGAAGAGTTATTTTATGATAACATGGAACGTAAACAAATAAACACATACATACAAAAATAAAGCAAAAAAAATCCGCTTACTTTGTGCAGACGAAAAAGGTGCTACATACTGTAAATTATCATTTACCACGTCAAAATTAGTTAATGTGAAATTGCAATGCCAAGTTTGACAATAACGTTTGGCAATACGTTACGACGTAAACACAGTCAATACGTTTTCAACAGTTTTATTTTCTAGGAGTCATAGATAATGTTTATTGGTTCCCACACACAAATCATGCTAAGTAAGTATATTTTTCTAGATGTTTAATGAAGAAGCATACAATATACACTTGATTTACAGTTTTTAAACAGTAACTGTTGTACACCATGAACATTTGTCAAAACATTTGATATAGAACCATACAAAATACAATTGTTTTACAATGTACACATACTAACCATAGACTTTGAAAGTATATATTTTTCTATGCATATAATACAGAATCATATATTGAGATGCAATTGTTTTACATTTTTCACACACCATTTATTCGACATGAAAGTATATATGTGTCTAGGCATTCAATGTAGAAGCATAAAATATAGTTGCAATTGTTTTACGGTTTGTTTTAAACAATATTTATACATGATGAACAATGAAAGTTTATAAATATCAGCACATTTGATGTAAAACCATGCATAACACAATTATTCAACATGAAAGTATTATATTTGTCAGCACATATGATGTAGAAACATTTATACAAGAGCTGTCGGTAGGACAGCAACGCTCGACTATTATAAGTGCTTGATAGCAAAAGAGCCTTGATAATGAAAAATATTCTAAGTTCACAAAATAGCTAATGTTTTACAAATCCATGTTATAGGCCTTGGAGACAGTCCTATTATGCTCACAAAGAAGTGTATAAAATTTCGATTTATTTCAAAGCAAGATGTCAATTGAATATGAAAATATCTGAGGTAATACGCAAACTTAATGTAAATTCTTAATTGCAAAAGGGAATAATTATGTCAAAATGCTTGATATAGTTACCTCCTCCTGTCTACAGCTTTGGGCCATGATGGTGAACAGGTGTAATAAGTTTCAAAGCCATATGGTAATGGACTTTGAAAATATTTGAGGTATTACAAAAACTTTAACGTAAGTGGTTACGCCGACGCCGAAACCGACACCGACGCCGACGCTCGGGTGACTACAATATCTCTACTTATTTTTATCAAATAGTCGTGCTAATAGTAAAATTGTTATTCATTTTTTACAGAACAACCATTCACTTTGAAAGAATAAACATGTATTGATATATGCAATTAACGTAGAACCATACAATATACAATTGTTTTTGCCATTTTCACATACCAATCATATACAATGAATTATATATATATGATATAAACGATATAACCATACAAAATTCAATATAAATATTTGAAAACATGCAACAAGATCAGTGTAATGGACTGATGCATAATAATGCATAATATCAAAACTGCTTGTATCACTGATTGGACAACTATTTGTCAAATGTCTTATGTCAAATGGATAAACTTATATTTCTGCATTTCAGGTCTCCCTCAAAGTGATAAGACGCTTTGATCTGATATTCAGTGGTTATTGCTGCCGATATCCGGTCATATTCCCTATTGACTATAGTATATCATTTTCCTAATCCACAGGAAAGAAATCCCACTTGAAAGTTACAAAATAAAAGATATTTAATACGAAATTTTTAAATTTTTAAAAATAAGGGGTTCTTCAATGTTACGGCGCTTAAATGTTTAAAAATACCACCATAGACAGTAATTGCTTTTATTTATTTAAACAATCCAGAAGTCATGCATTTTTTCCCAATTTTTAACAAAACATCGAAGAAGTTCCCAATTCTATGTGTATGGGTCATGCTCCCAAAAATCCTGGGAAAAACGCTGAATATTATGCCCTACCACTACCCTTGAATAACTAATTGTAATTGAAATTGACTTTAATTATTTTCTTTATAATTTTTTCGGGTGGGGATGGGTTGTAACAGGGACTGAAGGGAGGAAGGGGGGGGGCAGTAACGGATACTATCAGATCCAAGCGTCTTATCCTTGTGGTTTCTCTACTTAACATTTAGTCTATCTTCGACACTATTTTAATGGACTGTATGCTAAGAAACTGCATGTAAAACTGTTTTGACCTAGCACCTTTTTGGTCTGGCCCCTTGTTCACAAACAAAAGATCGGACAGGATATTATGATCATGATTTTATTTTCAACTTTTTTATGAAACTAAAACTGATCGTACGTATTATGCTAGAATTAAATGGTACATATTCGAAATGGAAATAGTTGTTTATTTGCAAAGACACCAACCTATTTTGGGATAAAATCAACAAATAACAAAACAAATACAAAAATGATCGGACCAAAAAGAGGATCAATTTTAGGATCAAAATATGCATCAACTGTAAAATGCCCGTATATTGTAAAAATAACAATAAATTTATTTTAAAAATCATGAACATGCTATTTCAAGTCCAGTTTTATCAAGTTAATATTGAATATTTAATCTATGAGGATAAATAATGGAAAATATCTGAGTTTTTAATTTGATCCTGATCTTGATCCTGATTCTTAAATCTTTGTGAACACGGTCTGATGATCAGTTAATTTATATCCCCTATAGAAGCGAACACAATATCACGTTGTTAGAACATTATAAAGAATACAATTGCTACACATGCAGTTTAGATACTTGGCGCATTGGTTATATTTTGCGCTATTAATAATTAACATCATCGGTTAATTAGGATGACAACGTTAACACTATAAGAATTTATTGATTTCAATATTTAGACATTTATATATATTATTGTTTTTTATTTGGTTGTTTATTTGTTGTTGTTGCTTTTTTTTCTTCTTTTTTGTGGCTTTTTTAAATTTCTTCACACGTACAGTAGCTTTATTTATTGATAAAACACATTAATTGTAGGAAATACAAGGAAAATTGTGTCGAATATAAAAGATGATAATGCCTTCAGCTTTTCTTTGACAACTATTTTGATTATAAAAAATGCTAACAAAACAAAAAATACATTTAAACAAACACAAAAAGTTGGATTAAAAAAAGAAGTTTTTTTTTCATTTTGTTTTGTAACGTAATTACCTGCTGAACAAGGATTAAATATTGTCTGATGAGGATAATATTTCAACTGATTATATGATGTAACATAGATATATTCGGTGACGTGATTTAATGTTGAAACGTGATAATATGCTGTCACGTGATAATATGCTGTCAGTGGTAATATTCTATCAGTGATACTAAGTCACCAATCTGGTAACTGAAAATAATTGAAAATGTAAATGTTCTACAGCATACGTCAATCATACAATAAAACTTTTATTAAACCATGTCTGATACAAAAATAAAACTGATAATTATAAAAATGTTCTTTTGAGTACGATCATTCAATTCTCTGAATTTATGAAATCTTCTTTTGATTACTTATCTTATTTTCTTCTTATCATCATTGATGACGATCTCAATGACAAATATCTATCAAACCCATAATGGAAGTGTCCACAATAATTTATGTAGGCACCGGAAAATTCACATTCCATGCCTGGCGTCCCATAGTATCCATTTAGATTGACACAACTATCATAGCTATCCCACCAGGCTCCATGACTTATCTCGGCCCAGTTCTCGTAATCATAATCACGACGATCAAGATAAAGATCGTAAGTTGAAAATGGATTATGATTTTCACAAGCTAATCCATATTCTTCATCTAGGAATAAAAAAGACACATTTAATTAGTTCTAGCACTATCGTTGTGACACTACGTCCAGGTAGTTTGCATGTTGACCAAATTTCATGAACATCAAGTTACTATCCCCACAATCATTCCAAACACCTCACATTCGGTTCATCACGGATATTATACAATTATAAAAATACGTATTTACATTATGACAAAGCATGTCCAATATCAGGTCAGTAGAACCACAAGTATTTGCCATTGAGTTTGTTGGTTTTCTAAACTGGTCAGTGGGAAGTTTTGCTGCATCAGAAACCAAGTTAATTAGTCATCAACTGAATGTAGAGAAAACCCCACAAACACATCGATAGAGAGCTCCGCAAGGATGTCATGGGGGGAAGCCAAGGCTTAGGCCATGGACCGTTGCATAAAGCACGATTGGGTGCATGTCACAACTACATTAGAAGTATCATAATATAATGTTTAAACAAACACTCAAATACTATCTCTATACTGGCAATATATCAAACTTTGATATTTATATCAGGCAAAATATAGCAACATTAAAATGTCAGACATGAATTTGTTCTACTATAAATAAAACAGGAATTGCCAATCTGTTTATTATAATTTTCTTCAGTTATTGTAATATGTCATTTCTTTTTTAAAAAACATGTATAATTAAAAAACGGTAAGCCAAAGAAACGAACAGATAAAAAAAGAATAATGGTTTCGAAACATTATAAATTATTGTAACCTGACGAAATGGGTGATAAATGTGAAATTATTTGTCATACACGTAGACACAAAATGTAAACGAGAAATATTCTGACTTCAATACAAAATTATAAACCACTATCTTTATAGTATTAATTGCCAAAACCAGCAGATAAACAGATGGTTCAGGTGATCAGCAAACGACTCGTGTTTTGGAAACAAAAAATAAAAGCTTTTGAGAAGCAAAAATAAAAACATTTTTGATGTATAAATTATCTTCAAAAACCTACGTAATATCGCAACAAATCAAACATTGAGTCAAATAGGCGTGAGAGATTCTGTTTACTAGACTAGTCTAAGATTTTGTATGAAAATTTGAATTTGTTTTTGCTTCATACTGTAACTGCTGTCAACCGCTTAGTATTTATTGGTTTAAAAGCTGTTTATAAATAGTAAATGAACAGAATATAATAGAATAGAAGGCAAAAACTGTCAACATAAATTACCTAACACTCCAAAACCTATGCATGACCCAATGTTTAGTGTATAATTTTTTCCTTCTGTTAACATAAAATCTGGACAAGTTTCATGTCCTGTTCTATTCTCACTACTTGTCATATCAAGACGAATCTTTGTAGAACCTTGTTCAGCTAGTTCTTTTATATACTTTAATCCTGCGAAAATATATCAAATGCAAATATAAAATATAGAAATTTACAAAGATATTCAGTCTTCAACATTTCATTTTACAAATTACAAACCTTAACAATCATAATAAGATTGCGTTTTATCTATAGACATTTAAACCTTCGTGGTTGCTTTATGAATTAAACTTCATCAACTTCAATGTTTATCAATACACTTTAACAACTAAAATATGTTTATCAATACACTTAAACAACTAAAATATGTTTATCAATACACTTCAACTACTTATGTTTTAAATTATCAATACACGTCAACAAATTAACATGTGTTCTTGTGTGTTATCTATACACTTCAAGAACTTAATATGTTTATCAAATGAATACACTTCAAAAACTTATGTTTATCAAAATACTTCAACGACATATGTTTATCAATATACTTCAACAACTTAATATGTTTATCAAAACACTTCAACAACTTATATAAGCAATGCATTACGGTCAGCAAGAAATTTTCTAAGTGTATTAGTTAATTGTACTATTTGTTTACTTTAAGCGAAATATTTATTCTATCGTAACGAAACCTATCTTCATGTTACGCCTGCAATAAAGGAATAACATATTTTTTCATACCTAGCCACAACTCTCCATCAACGTTCCCAAAACCATTCTCATACTCTGTCAAGTTGCGATAAAAGTCCACTGACCCATCCATTCGCCTGTGAAATATCTAGAAGAAACGCAAACATGCTCAAGCGCTTACGAATTATGTTTATAATTAGTACTTAAAATTACACTAAGTGTGTGTCTGTTTAACGTCAGTTTTATATAGCTACTGTTAAGGTTATATTTCATTTTAAATGGAAAGATGGACATAAGTCCTTTCTCTTTAATTTGCTGTGAGGAACAGACCGTCTGTCCTTCTAATCATTTATCTGCCCTATTACAATTGACTCATTGATTTCAATACGTGGTTGTACACTTATTACATGCTTTTATTTATATACTGGAACCATTTTTCACAGTGAAATGATAAAATATAAATTACCAAGCAGCCAGGCTATAATTAAATGCGGATGAAAGGAATTCATCTATGTTAACTAGTGTGGAAATATCCTTATTTATACGAGTATTAATTAAAACCAACAAATATACTCTGTGGAATTTTACAGCGAAAAAATGTCTGAAAATCGGAATAAAATGCAATTTGATATTGACGTCTATTTGGCACTATTTGACTGTTTATTCGTACTGAACAACAAAAAAAACACGATTATGGGTTAAATGAATGTTACCATGTGAGTATGTGAATCAGGCAAAAACAGTTTGCTTATCAAACATTGGAATAAAAGAATCTACATACCGTCCAACCTCCGCCGTCGGTTTCCATGTCACAATTCACAGTCAGAATTTTCCCAGATGTCCAAAGTTCTATCTCATATTGTCCACTTTTCGCTTCAGGAAACTTATCAAGGACTTTTTTACAATCACTTGGTAGATCTACTAGGCAAAGATCAAAACAGTATTTGTAACAAGAATGAATGATTCATGCATTAGCAAGTGTTTTCACAATAAATTACATAAATTGTGTAAATAAAAACACCAAAAGTGACATTTATCTATTATATACTTTTGTCATAATGTTTATACATACCTAAGATCTTTTATATGACGTAATAATATATGAAGTAAAGTCGTAATAATATACGTATAAAATGTCTTTATGACGTAATAAGACAGTTCTTGTAACATCGATCGCAGCACAAATATGAATAGAGGTAATGTAACAGTGAAATAGTTCTTATTTTCTATGACAAGTATTGCGACATTGCCATTTTTTCTAAAGCCATGTTCCTTTCCACTGTATAAAACTTTTTAGTAGCTAAATGTCTAATGCATGATGCAAAATTGCTTCCAAACTTTACATGATAGTTATAAAAAATGAAGGTAGGATAATGGAGTGGATCTAGGCAAAATCAGAAATTTTATTTAAAATTGAAGCAATGGAGATGTAATTAAAGATTTCCTTAAACTCACCTCTGAATAGATTCATCTGTCATCAAAGACTATCATTTCATTTCGAAACGATAATAAAAATAGAAATCTAATGTCAGTAGAAATTATGCTTAAATAGGCTAAAAAAGGGAAGACAGTTAACATCTAATATTGTTAGATCTATTTTATTTTTTATAAAAGATCTAATTATAATATTTTAAAGAATAATATACCATTTGTAAGATCCTGTATTAATTCTAAAGTAATCATAGTGGCAATGTACCTGCCGGTTTTTCCTTCAAATATTCGGGAAAAAACAAAATCAAAAGCTTGATTAAACAAAAAATTAAGAAAGACATAAAAAATACGATTTTCAATTTATTTCAAAGTATATATTTTAACTATCTTTGCATATAGTTTAAAGTGCCCCAGCTCATTTATGTAAGAAATTCAAATGTTATGTTTTTAGGCTTTTAAACCTCAGTAGAGTCCCTTTAACTGTCTAAAAGACATCATCCAATATATCCTCTATTTTTGCTATTTATATATAAGAACATTAAGATAATAAAATATTAATTTATTTGCATAAGCATTTTAAGTGCAAAAGTAAATGTTTTGAAAGACGATCCCGCAAGTATGACAACTTTTATTCTGTCAAGAAATGAACAGCAATTTATTTAAATACGTTACATTTTATCTCTTTCGTACACGTGGCAGGCTGCCATTGTCCCGAAGCCTCACATTTCACCTCTTGTTGACTAGGAACATATCCATTGTCACATTTTACTTGAGCTACGTCGAGGAACTTATTTTCGCCAGGCGTGTTAATCTGTATTTTACCTTTTTCAATTTTCTGATCAAAAGCACAGGCTGAAAATAATAATAATATCCTATGCTATATCTATGTGAACATATGGTTTCTTTCAGGCAAAAGTGTCAATTGTAAAATGCGTTTTATTTTTTATTATTTTGTCTTTGCTTCGTTTGTTAATCTTATTTGTTATTTGTTATACTGAAAAGCGTTGCAATGCTTTGCCAAGAAAAGCAAAACAATACGAGTTTTGCTTAATTACTGAGTATTATTGTTAATTATCATTTGTATGTCTTTCTGTTTTAAGTGTTCCAGTTGATCTCAATAACAAATTCAATTTTTATGGGTTTTTTTAGACTTTTTGGACATCAGTGAAGTTCCTTCAATTCGCAAACATATCAGTAGGGCGGATTTAAGAAGTATCCTCTATCTTCTATATAGCATCCTTTTGCAAAAAGCTTCAAGGACTATACTTTTAAAGACATGGCATCTATCAAACAAAAATGATTGCTGTAAATATTTTTTGAAAAATAATACAACATTTAACTTAATTACAAATACAAAAATGTAAAAATAAAAGTTTATACGTACTTATGTCGTTGCAAACATGTGAAGCACCATTTTGGTAACACCTTTGGTTCGCTTTACACGGCCTAGAGCCACAACTTCCAACCATTCTCTATAAATACAAGGAAAATATAAGAAACATTCATTAAAAGTTTTGTTGAATTACAAGAACTATTAAAATGTGTATTTCTGAATGCGACACGATTAGGTAAGCTCTACCTATAAGATTTTATATTATTGACAATGAGTGAAAAAAAACTTCTGAGATGATCTTTCGAAACATTATTATTTGCACAATAAAATGTAAGTCATGAAAATATCATTCACGTTACAATATGAAAAAAAACATATGTTACTATAAACTTCAAATGTAAGAAAGGCATAAAGATTGTTTCATTTCCGTTTCAAAAAGTTGTGCATATCGTATCAATTAATAAATTGAGATACTTACGCTAGGCCATTCGCTGATATCAGAGAATATAGCGCCTAGCTTTGTTACAAACTCAAATGGATGAACGGACGACCGGTCAACATCGTTTAATTTACACACGTGCTCGTTTCTGTCAAAGTCGATAGATTTACAGACGGACAAAGCCATACAGGTTCGCGCACAATCGTGATGGTTTTTATCATTTACTTCTAGCACAGAATGACCGATCAAGGCTGTGTTGATATTTTTTTCGTGTTTATTTCAAAAGAACTACATTTGTTTGAGTAAACTGTTCCGAATAAGACAGCATTGACTATTATAATTCCAGCAGTCAGAGCCATTGTATTAAAATTAAAATAATATTTGTTATTAGCCAACAGATATATAAAAATGAAACGGCGACCGTATCTAAAAACACAGAAAAGTCACGTCTCTATGGTATGTTAAATGTGCGCTATATATACGATTAAGACAGCTTCGCATAAAATGTATAAGACACGCCCTTGTTATTGATCATTGGTGAATTGTCCAATCTAATACTAGTCCTTTATTATGCATCAAATACTTAACAACTAAGTTTGGTTTTGTTTTCAAATCCAGAACTGTTGCAAACAAACCTATTTTGATGTATTGATATTTGGCTGTAAATCAAAGCTAAAGATCGGTGTAACGAAGTAGCATGACTGATTGACACCCATATGATTATGACAGACGGTCATTATTTTTCAAACAATGTTGACTTCTCGCTCATTATATTATAAGTAACATTCTTAAATATTATGACCTCTCCACACGAAGAATGACCCCCATGGTAGCCAGTATGTACAAGAACGATATGCCAATTTAGATATGTTTTGGATGAAACATATTTATTTCAGCTCGATTGCTAACAAATACTTGCAGTTTATATTAATTACTTTCGAGTCCGCTTCCTGAAACCAACAAGTTCTGGTGTCATATGAAGAAACATAGGCGTGACCCAATTAGGGCTCGTACCCATGATCTCTAGGTTGAGAGTAGACACCTTTACCACTAGACCAGCAATACCCTCTATTTGTTTTAAAAAATGAATCGGCGATAATAGCTTAAAATTTATCAAATCGTAAATGTAATTTTGAAAAGGAACCAAAATGATACAAGAAACCAGAAAACATACGAAAGACTGGTGGGAACATTTCAAGTTCATGAATCACCTTCAGTTGTTAAATATCAACATACTCTTAATCCTTTATTAAAACATTATTAAACGCATGTTTGACATTTCTCAACAATGACAAAAATATGGATTTCTGAAGTATGATGTGCTTTTTAAACAGAAAGATATACTGAAGATAAAAAAGAAATATACCTAGAAAAAATGAAAATCGGATTTTTATGCCAGTCCAGTTTGAGTAAAAAGCTTTTTTGGATCATTCTTACCTTACGTCAATAAGAATACTTATTCAGGAATGTAGTTCTTTCCAACTATAGAAAATGGAGAAAAACAGAAAAACTTTATGACGGAGCATTTTTTAATTGGTCAACATAACGAAAGAAAACACAACTATTGTTGATCACTCATTAGGTTCCGTAAACCTTACAATATAACACAACAATTGAAAATTACTTTTAACACAATTTTCGCAGTCGAGTAACCCATTTCATTTATAGAGCCTTTGCAAAGTATCATAAAATTGCTTTAAAGCACATTATGCCTGTTTTTAATAATTAAAAATGTAAAACATATGTTAAATAATGATTAAATGGATTTAAAGTATTTTTTATGTTAAACAAACGAGAAAAGTACCACTGAATGTGCACTATTAGAAAAAATGTCTCGTAATAGAAGAAAAATGTTAACAAAGAATTTTTTTACCATCATACAAAAATATTTATTCCCTTTTATTCAACCAATTGCTAACGGAGGATGAAAAGCAAAAGACGTTTCATATATATGGCAAATGAGTATTTTTGGAAGCCGTTAGAAAAAAACATAAAATAAAAGAATTTGGGAAATAAAACTGAAAGTATTTCTTCTTTCAAGAATAATTCAGTAACTCATTTATCTCCCCATGAACACTTTCAAATAGTATCACATTCAGTTATAAGTGATCATGCCTGTTCGTCTGTCTTTCTGTCCGTCCGTCTGCCGGCAATAAGCTTTCACTGATCAAATTTCTGGTGAGAGTTCAATAAAACTTTACAGGAGTGATCAGTGCCATATCTAGTTGTGCATATCGTACGTTCTGCTTCGCTGTCCAAAATGGCCACCAGAGCTATAAATAGAAAAATCACAGATCAAACTGTTGACAGGATTTTGCCGAAACTTCACAGAAATGATCAGTACCATCCTTAGTTGTGCAGATCGCAAATTCCCTCCGATATGCACAAATGGTCATATGATCTAAATTTCCTGTTGTCAAATTACACATGTGGTTTCGACCAAACTTCGCAGGAATGATCAGTGCTATGCCTGTCTTTGGGAGACATATGTTTTTGTAACAAAAATCCTTCAAGTTTAAAAATATAATAATCATATACATGTTCATATTCTGTCTTAATTCAATGTACATATCACATGAATATTAAATAAATACAATCCACAGGATTAACAATTTGTACGAGTATCACACTTGAAGCAAGTGGAAAATGACGTTGCTTTGGGTAAAATCAATTCGGCTTTTTTAAATTTTGTTTTTCGATCTATGAGCTGTTTAGCTCGAAAATTAATTCAATCTCCAAATTCGGGTTTTAAAAATTTTAAATTTCATTCTACGACCTGGCTTGAAATTGAACTCTAACTTTTGGTAAATTTTAAATTTTAATCATCGATCTAGCTCGAAATTCCGTTCCAGTTCGAAATTCTGGTTTTGATTATTTTGAATTTTGATCTTCGAGCTGGCTCAAAATTCAACTCCAGCTCGAAATTCGGCTTTTTCAAATTTCATTTTCGATCTCCGTGCTGACTCGAATTTCAAATCCACCTCGAGATTCGTGTTTTAAAAATTTTGAATTTTGATCTTCGAGCTGGATTGAAAATCCTCTCCAGCTCGAAATTCATCTATGATTTACTTTAAATTTCGATCTTCTAGCTAGTTTGAAGTTCAAAGACCTGATAAACAACTCATTGCTATTCATAGCAATTAGTTATCTTTAATAATAAATTGTATATGGATTTTATATAACAATTTTCCACATATAATTGCATTTGAGGTGGAGAACCGTTATCGCTGAATTCCTAAAGCACGGTCCCATTTGTTACACAAAGACTATTATTCATTGATTATTCATTTTGTTGATTGCTTAATTACGTGCCTTTTAAGCATTGCCTTTTCCAAAATATAAATTATTAATATATAAATAAAACTGTTAAACATTTTGACTGTCATACTTTTAATTGGTGTTTTGATAGCCTATGAAATAAAATTAATAAGAAAATTGTTGGGAATCGTTCGTGTATTTATTATTCAAGTGTCTACATAAACAACAACATGTATTTAGGCCCAGGTAATAGCTACAAATTTGTTGTTAATGCGTATTCCTAATTGCTCATAAACGATTACTGATTGGTAAATGATATTAACAGTCTAAAATGGGATATTTTTAATAAGCATTGGAAAGCATTTTTAATCTTAATTAATTAATTAATTAATTAATATACACTACATTTTTCCAAAATTAAAATCTTTATCAATATTAAACAATGATTTCACGAACTTGAAACATTTATTATCCCAATTACTAACATATCTTTTAAACCATTTTATTTTTAAAGAATGAACATAGCTACCAATATCTACTATGTAAAGACTACCTTCTTTTTTATGTTTTAATGACTACAGATTGTTTAATTTTTGCCTAACCTTCCAATATAAAATCATAAAAATAAATCATTAAGTGTTTTTAAAAAGCAGTAGATTCTATTTGGTGTAGGTAGGCTTGAAAAACAATCAGTAAATAAAAGAAGCAATATTGACTTAACAATAGTTACTTTCCCAAGTGGAATTAAACATTTTTTTCCAATGACTAATACTAATCTTTACTTTCTGCAGCTTTTCATCAAAATTTAGATCAATGCGTTTTTTTCTAAATTAACATCAAAAGTTAATCCTAACAGTTTAAACTGTGCCTAACAGTTTAAACTGTGCTTCACCCCATGTTAGTTTCAACTTTGTCTTAATTGGTCTAGTACTATATTTCATTTGCAAGGAAGCCGGAGTAGTCAACATGGTAAGGGGAGTTTTTGGAAGTTTGTATCAAGGATGCTCTATATTTGCTCGATACAGCGGCATGTAATGTACTGCTATTGCACTTATTGTTTTAGCTGCATTACATTGTATTTTCTTTAGAAAAAGTCCCACATCGTTCCTATTCATCTTCACAAATTGATGATATTTTGTTTAATGGCAACCGTCTGTATTCTCGGATTGTTGAAAACATTGGACACGTCATGCAGATTGCCAGATGAAATAAATTTTCAGGGAACAAATTTTCAGGTCCAATACATGCGAAATATGTATTACGGGAGAATAAATTCACAAGCAAATGTTGAGCTGGGACATGTATATTTTATTGATGCAATATCGCAAACTAGCTTTCTGACACCATTTCATATTTTAACAGTTAATGATTTGACTGTTGCAGTATACATATCATCTTCTACTAATCAGTACAGTATTTTTGAGTCCCATTCGAGAAACAATATTTGTAAAACAATATTTGTTTGCCTTCTGAAAATTGTACAGCTGTACTTTTGCAATTTGAAGGGATTAATGGGTTAGCAGATTATATATTGTAGCATTATTCAGGGTTTTTTTATATGAATTAACACCACTTTTTATAACTATCCAAAGTGTTCAAAGTCAAAGATGTGAAAGTGAAAATTCAACTAATCGGGTATCATTTCTAAAAAATATGCCAAATGAAAAAAAAATTAGCTTACAGTAATTTATCAGAATAGAATAATTATGAAACATTTTCTTTGAAGCTGAACCATTGTTATGCATCACAAAATAAAGAAAAGAAAAAGTAAAAAAAGGAAAAATGTTAAACAAGTTGAAGTCATGTATAATGTTAATGACATATCATGCAGTTTGCCTTCTGCACTTAACACACAAAATGAATCCTTATGTATTGATATGACTAGTGTTGGGAATGTATGTGAGGTGGAAAATTCAGGCAACATATTA